GTAGAGAACTGTAATTTAACAGTATAAAACAGTATTTTCTGTCAAGCTTAGGAAAGACACATGTCGATTCATTTAGAGGACCTGTTGCTATCCTTCAACATGTCGCTTGACAACGTGACTATACTGGCAGTTTGACTAGTTGGCATGCTCCACCTGGAACTCAACCACACTAAGGGAATGTAATTTATCCAGTGTCCATTCATCCATTTTTGTATTTTTCTGTCTTCAGTACACGAAAACGCATACTTTCATTAAAACGCATACTTTCCTCACAGCCCCGCCCCGATGGGTCCTGACCGGGGTCCACACGCCCACAGACCAGGGTGGCCGTGAGGCACCTTGCCCTCAAAGCCCTGCCCTGACGGGACCTGAACGGGGCCCATGGCCCACACACTGGGGTGGCCGTGAGGCACCTTGCCCTCACAGCCCCACCCAGACGGGTCGTGACCGGGGTCCACACTACCCACACACCGGGGTGACAGTGAGGCGCCTTGCCTTCATGGCCCCACCACGACGGGTCCTGACCAGGGTACACACGCCCACACGCCCGGGGTGGCCGTGAGGTGCCTTGCCCCCACAGCCCTGCCCTGACGGGTCCTGACCGTGGACCACACGCCGGGGTGGCCATGAGACGCCTTGCCCTCACAGCCCCACCCAGACGGGTCCTGACCGGTGACCACACTACCCACACACCGGGGTGGCCGTGAGGTGCCTTGCCCTCACAGCCTCGCCCCGACGGGTCCTGACCGGGGCCCATGGCCCACACGACGGGGTGGCCATAAGGCACCTTGCCCTTACAGCCCCACCCAGACAGGTCCTTGTCACACGCCCACATGCCGGGGTGGCCGTGAGATGCTCAAACAGATAAGTCAAACAGGCGGCTATTTACTATAGGATACCAGCTCTCAGGTCTCAGGTCACATCTGGTTTTTCTCTCTCACAAGGGCATGCAAAGGTTTACGACCATGTGATATACATCTAGTAATAGATTACAAGGTAAATAACCACTAAAAAGGGTGCTATCACAAAATTGCCACTACACAAGTTAAAACCTGTAGTATAACTGTCCCCAATTCTGTGCAAGGACAAACTGATATTAGTCCACCTGAATAATCTTTTACTCTAAGCTTACTTGGCGATGGGTTTCTTTTCTTTTCTTTTTTTTTTTTTTACATGATTGGCCTTTTCATAAACCTTTGATTTGTTTAGTTACACTTACATATCCTGAACATGTGTAACGTTTTCAGGATGAGTTGGAGGCGACCCAGGAGGGAGCAGAGGCTCTAGTGGCAGTGGTCAGTGAAGAGGAGGTGCTTGCAGGAGTTCCTTTTGAAACTCACCACATGTCAATCGTCCTCGAGGATCAGGTCGTAACGTCTCACAGATCTTGGCCAGATTCACTGATCATTTTATTTGGACTGATCTATGCTCTCTATTTGAGCTGCCCTGAGAAGCTAAGTGGCTTCTTTGAGTTCATACAGATTGTTCTCTTAAATCTTGACGGTGGTAGGAAGCGGATCCAACCAAAGTTACAGGCCTTGAGAAATGAACTGGAATGACTGTGTTAACATGTTTTTTGTTTGCCAGTGTCTGAAAAATTGTGTTTTTGCTTGGATGCAAAAAATTGGGAAACAAGTGCAAGTTCTGGGCATTTTACTTGGGAGTCCTGCCCATATACATTGAACTATGACCACTAGGTTGACATCTAGCCTGTGTATTTAAACAGGTGATGTTCACATCACTCAACAGTGAGAAGACGTCCAGTTTGATTTCATAGGTAAGTTCAATTTCT